GCCAGTGATTTGAAAGACCTAGACTTGGCAACATACTTGCTACCCATGCAGCGCAGCCTAGGACTCAATTGGGATCTCAAGTCTGACACCCTCACCTTCCAGGTCGACAAGGAGCCAAAGCCTTTTACACGGCGAGGTGTCTTATTTACCGTAAACAGTCTGTATGACCCACTCGGGTTTGCAGCACCTGTGACCGTCCAAGGTAAGATTCTGCTCAGAGAGCTTGCTGCAGACACATGTGATTGGGATTCTCCTCTTCCTCCAGAGAAAGAGACATTATGGGTAGCATGGAGAGACTCTTTAAAGGCATTATTTAGCCTACACATACAGTACATAGCCTATATGCTCACATTTTCCCTGCAAAAGTTCAGTCTAGAAATCTATGTGTATTCTGTGATGCTCCAGTAAAAGCATTAGCCGCTGTAGCCTACCTTAAGTCAGTGGATATCAAGGGTCCAGTCCATATTGGATTTGTAATGGGTAAGGCCAAGCTAGCACCATGTCCGGAAACCACCTTTTCAAGATGAGAACTTTGTGCTGCTGTTCTAGCAGTGGAGCTAACAGAACTGATTATGTCTGAAGTTGATGTAGAACTTGAAGACACAGAGTTTTATACAGACAGCAAGGTAGTGCTGGGATACATTTACAATGAAAGCAGGAGATTCTATGTCTATGTACATAACAGAGTCCTGGAGGATCAGGAAGTTTACGCAGCCTACCCAGTGGTATTATGTATCAACTGATCATAACCCAGCAGATCATGCTACAAGGGGTGTGCCAGCATTCCGCCTTAGAGATACTACATGGCTCACAGGATCACCCTTCCTGTACAAACCAGCGCCTATCAATCCTGAAAAGGGCACATATGTACTGTTGGAGCCTGATACTGATGCAGAAATCCGCCCTCGGGTCTCAGCACTACACAAAACAATTTCTAACAATTTCAAATTGTTGGGATCAAAGTGCTTTCATAGATTCTCCACTTGTAAGTCTCTATACAGAGCTATAGCTTGCTTAATTCACATTGCCAGATCTTTTAAAGCCACACCTACAGGATCAAGACATTGCAAAGGTTAGCATTATTGTCGCAAGGCATACACAGTGGACGAGCTCACACAGGCTAAAAATGTTATCATCCATTGTGTCCAATAAGAGACTTATGCACTAAAAATAGAATGCCTTCAAAATCACAAGAATGTTCCAAAAGAGTGTCCTCTAAAGAAACTTGATCCCTTTGAAGACTGTAAAGGACTGTTGAAAGTTGGAGGGCGCATTTCCAACTCAAGACTTAAAAGTGTTGAAAGCAATCCAGTAGTGATCCCAAGTCACCATATTGCTTCACTTCTTGTGGAACATTACCACTTACAGACCAAACACCAAGGGTGTTTGTTCACAGAGGGAGCCTTACGTGCAGCTAGACTCTGGATAATGGGAGGCAAGAGACTCTTGAGTACAATTATGTTCAAATGGATCACTTGCCGTATGCTTTGTGGCATGTTTCAAACTCAGAAAATGGCTAACCTCCGTGCAGACTGACAGCACAGAACCTCCCTTCACAAATGTCGGTCTCGATGTGTTTGGGCCCTGGGCTGTCATCACACGGCAAACTAGAGGAGGCAGTGCTAACAGCAAACGTTGGGCTGTCATGTTCACTTGCATGTGCATCAGGGCTGTACACATAGAAGTCATTGAGTCCTTAGACACATCCAGCTTTATAAATGCCCTCAGACGTTTCACTTCGATTAGAGGCCCTGTCAAACATATTTGCTCTGATAGAGGTACCAACTTTGTCGGAGCTTGCAAAGAATTGAATATCATTTCAACCCTTGAAAAAGAACGTGTAGAGAGATACCTTTCAGAACAAGGTTGTATATGGACATTTAACCCACCACATGCTTCCCATATGGGAGGTGCTTGGGATCGCATGATCGGCATAGCTAGAAGAATCCTAGACTCAACATTTCTACAGTTAGGAACTTCAAGGCTCACACATGAGACACTGACGACCTTCATGGCTGAAGTAGTGGCTATAATAAATGCCAGACCCCTGACGTCAATACCCAATGAACCAAAAGATCCTTTCTTGCTCAACCCTTCCACTTTGCTTACCTAGAAAGTTGGAGTAACCACAGCTCCTCCAATCGACCTCGACACTAAAGACCTATACAGATGCCAGTGGAGACGAGTGCAAGACATCTTTTGGAATAAGTGGAGGAAGCAGTACCTATCCAGTCTATAGATCAGAAACAAATGGCAAGTCAGCAAGCCCAACTTGGAACCTGGCACCATTGTTCTTGTGAAATACGCTCAGTCAAGGTTGAACGAATGGCCTTTGCGTCTGATAACCCAAGTGTTTCCAAGCGAAGATGGGAAAATCAGGAAAGTTGAGGTTAAGGTCATTAGGCAAGACAAGCCTAAACTTTTCCTCAGACCCGTGACTGACCTAATTGTACAGAAGGACCATCATAGTTGGTATCCATGGGATACCAGGCGGGGAGTGTCATGCCTTCAACATATGCTTATGTCATGTTCTTTGTTAGTTTATTACGCTATGGAATGTAAGGTAAATTGTAATATTGCCATCTAGTGGCTCTTTTGTATAATTAAAGGTTTATAGATTATTTTCTGTAGTTACACATATTGTTGCTTAACCACTTGCCTACCGGGCACTTTTACCCCCTTCTTTACCAGGCCAATTTTCAGCTTTTAGCGCTGTCGCACTTTGATTGACAATTGCGCGGTCATGCAAGATTGTACCCATATGAAATTTTTATAATTTTTTTCTCACAAATAGAGATTTCTTTTGGTGGTATTTAATCGCCGCTGGGCGCTTTACTTTTTGCGCAATAAACAAAAAAATTGCAAAAAATTAGAAAAAAAAAGGTTTCTTTGTTTCTATTATAACATTTTTCAAACAGGTAATTTTTCTCCTTCACTGATGTGCGTTGATGAGGCAGCACTGATGGGCACTGATAGGCAGCACTGATGGGCACTGTTAGACAGCACTGAAGGGCACTGATAGGCAGCACTAACAAGGTGGCACGGATAGGCAGCACTAACAATGTGGCACTAATGAGGTGTCACTGATACGCGACACTGATGATGGCTACTGATAGACAGTACTGATAGGTGGCACTGACTGGCATCACTGCTGGACACTGACTGGCGGCACTGCTGGGCACTGACTGGCACAACCGTTGGGCACTAACTGGTGCCACTGACTGGCAGCTCTGCTGGGCTGCACTGATGGGCACTGGTGGGCACAGGTGGGTGGCACTGGTGGGCACAGGTGGGTGGGCACATGTGGGTGGCACTGCGGGGCACAGGTAGGTGGCACTTCTGGGCACACTTGTGTGACACTGCTGGGTGGCACAGGTGGGTGCACTGCTGGGCACAGGTGGGCTGAGCTAGTGGGGGCACTGCTGGGCACAGGTGAGCGGAGTTAGTGGGCGCACTGCTGGGCACAGGTGGGCAGAACTTGTGGGTGGCACTGCTGGGCACCGATCATTAGGGCACTGATCATCAGTGCCCTGATGATCGGTGACGATCCCCGCTCTAACAACTGCCGGTTCTCGGCAGTACTTTCCTCACGATCTGACAGCATGAGGAAAGTGCAGCCGAGAACCGGCAATTGCATTTCCCGGTGATCAGCGTGTCATTGGACATGACTGATAACGTGGTAAAAGGCCGCTGTGATTGGCCTTTTACCACATCACGTGATCAGCTGTGTCCGTAGGACACAGCGATCACAGAAATCACCGGGTGCGCACCCCAGGGGAGAGCTTGTTCTGGGAGGACATCATAAGATGCCCACCCAGAACTGGCCGGCCGCAGTGCAGCTGTCATTCGGCTATCTGCGTTCGGCAAGTAGTTAAAAGCTACCGTAGTTTTCCCATCATCATATGGTCTTCACCATGAGGTCTTAGAGACATTTTCTAGCAACGATCTTACATCTCCTCCAGAGGACTCCACACTTATTCAGCTGCATTTCTGTCGTCGGAAACATTGCCGTTTTACTTCATCTCCCCTGCTATAAAAGTTGAAAAGTGGACCTAGCGCCTGCATCAATGAGTTGTTAAGGGAGGAAGGTTAGCTGTCTGTCTAATTATACATTAGCCACCATTGGTATTAGTGGGAGGATTAGTATCCATCATTGGTATCAGTGGAAGAAAATAGTGCCCCATTGTTGGTGTCAGTGGGAGGAATAGTGCCCCATTATTACTGTAAGCGGGAGAATTATGCCTCACTGTTGGTGTCAGTGGGAGGAAGAGTGCCTCATATCACTGAGAGTAAAAAATTCCCCAAGGGCCGGATAAAGTCTAGCGAAGGGCTGCATCTGTCCCTTGGGGCACAGTGTGGAGACCACCGATTTAATGCATTATTGGGTTGTGCTGCATGGTAAAAATTGCCTTGTCTTTTCCCCTTGTTGTCAGGGCTCCGGGTATGACCAGAGGTGTGTGGACTGACACAGGGAAAGGCAGGCTTCAGATATGGTATAAACAATATGATTTATTAAGACTAACAATACAAAACGCAGTGCAAAACTAAACATAAACACAGTGCAAACAAACCAAACCACCTACAGATAACAATACATACAATGCAAGAGTCATCAGGCAGGCCGGGTCAGTAGCAAACGGGCAAACGGAGTACCAGGAACAGGCGGGAGAGTGGTCGGGGTCACAAGCTGGGTTCAGTAACTCACGGGCAGCGCGGTGCAGAGGGTCAGGCAGAGAATGGTCAGGGTCACAAGCCAGGGATCAAACAGGAGAAGTCAGCAGAGGTCAGGATCAGGCAGGGTCGGCAACAAGTCAGGCAGGAACAGGAACACAGGATACAAGATACAGGGGCCCATGGAAAAACACACACCAAGGCCCTGACTGTGAGTCTGGCCATTCCTTAAATACAACCCCTGCAATCAGCTTCAGGTGTTTGGCTGACTGCAGGGGTGAGTCTCTGATTGCTGAGAGCACCCGCTGGCCAGCCCTGGTACTGCAGCCCACAAGGCAGGTGAGTCCCACCATTATTGGCAAGTCCATTCCTGACAGTACCCCCCCTCAAGGAGCGGCCTCAGGACGCTCCAAACAGTCCTAGCTGGGCAAAATGTTCCACCGCCCGGCGGCAGGCACCGGGCCACAAGGCAGGGCGGCAGGCACCGGGCCCCCAGGCGAGTGGCGGGCACCGGGCCCCCAGGCGGAGCGGCGGGCACCGGGCCCCCAGGCGGAGCAGCAGGCATTGGGCCCCCAGACGGAGCGGCGAGCACCGAGTCATCTGGCAAGACAGCGGGCACTGAGTCATCTGGCAAGATCGCAGGCACTGAGTCATCTGGCAAGACCGCGGGCACCGAGTCATCTGGCAAGACCGCGGGCATGAGTCATCTGGCAAGACCGCGGGCCCCGAGTCATCAGGCACGACAGCGAGCTTTGAGTCAACCGGCATGACAGCGGGCTCCGAATCAACTGGCACGACAGCGGGCACCGGGTCATCAGGTACCAGATCGTCTGGCTCGACAGCAGGCACCGGGTCATCTGGCTCGACAGCGGGCATCGGGTCACCAGGTACGACAGCGGGCACCAGGTCATCAGACATTGGATTGTCTTGCTCGACAGCGGGCACCGGGTCATCTGGCTCAACAGCGGGCATCGGGTCACCAGGCACGACAGCGGGCACTGGGTCATCAGGCATCGGGTCATCTGGCTCGACAGTGGGCATCGGGTCATCAGGCACGACAGCGGGCATCGGGTCAGCAGGCACGACAGCGGGCACTGGGTCATCAGGCATTGGATCGTCTGGCTGGACAGCGGGCATCGGGTCACCAGGTAGGACAGCGGGCACTGGGTCATCAGGCATTGGATCGTCTGGCTCGACAGCGGGCATCGAGTCATCAGGCATGACAGCGGGCACTGGGTCATCAGGCATTGGATCGTCTGGCTCGACAGCGGGCATCGGGTCACCAGGCATCAGGTCATCTGGCTCGACAGCGGGCACCGAGTCATCTGGCAAGGCAGTGGGCACCGAGTCACCAGGCACGACAGCGGGCTCTGAGTCAACTGGCACGACAGCAGGCACCGGGTCATCAGGTACCAGATCGTCTGGCTCGACAGCGGGCACCGGGTCATCTGGCTCGACAGCGGGCATCGGGTCACCAGGCATCAGGTCATCTGGCTCGACAGCGGGCACCGAGTCATCTGGCAAGGCAGTGGGCACCGAGTCACCAGGCACGACAGCGGGCTCTGAGTCAACTGGCACGACAGCGGGCAGTGGGTCACCAGGCATCAGGTCATCTGGCTCGACAGCGGGCACCGAGTCATCTGGCAAGGCAGTGGGCACCGAGTCACCAGGCATGACAGCTGGCTCTGAGTCAACTGGCACGACAGCGGGCATCGGGTCACCAGGTATGACAGCGGGCACCGGGTCATCAGGCATTGGATTGTCTGGCTCGACAGCGGGTATCGGGTCACCAGGCATGACAGCGGGCACTGGGTCATCAGGCATTGGATCGTCTGGCTCGACAGCGGGCATCGGGTCACCAGGCATCAGGTCATCTGGCTCGACAGCGGGCACCGAGTCGCCTGGCATGATAGGATCATTAGGCTGGATCAGTTCATCAGGCTGGGTACAGACATCAGGCTGGGTAGAGACATCAGGGTGAATTGCGGGTGCCAAGGCACCAGGCTGAACCACGGAAGGCGGGTTCTCAGACGGCAGGCTGGACGGTTTGGATACTGGCAGGATGGTACTGGTTGGAAAGAATTTTCGCTTTTTTCTGGTTTTAGTTACTGGAGCACTGTAAGTAAACGCAGGTCTGTAAACAAATGGAGCAGCTAAAGACAGAGAAGAGCTGGAGGATGGAACAGAGGAGGGAGCAGTTGCTATAGAGGACTTCTTTACAGGGTTAAAGGCAGGATAGGTGCAGCGAGTGGGAGCAGAGGACTGATATGTGGTAGTTAGCAGAGTATACTGGGCCGTCACTGGGGGTGCTGTCGGGGATGCAGGAATAGAGCTTTGAAGAAATAGATTAGAAGCAGGACTGGGTTCTTGCAAGCTGACTGAGGCTGGGTGCAACAAATCTGTCCATGTCTGCAGTACTGGTTGAACAAAACTCAGCTTACACCAGTGTTTCTCAACTCCAGTCCTCATGGACCCCCAACAGGTCATGTTTTCAGGATTCCCCTCAGATGAAACAGCTGTGGTAATTACTAAGGCAGTGAAACTGATCAAATCACCTGTGCAAAATAATGGAAATCCTGAAAACATGACCTGTTGGGGGTCCACGAGGACTGGAGTTGAGAAACACTGGCTTACACATAGCCTGTCTGATCAAAGACTGCACTGTGTTTATGCAATCCATAAGCACATGTGATGGACAAGCTGCATAATGCTCATGGAAGCAATCTGGATCATCCTCCAACAACCATACTAGTGATTCCACTTGATCCACACTAAATGGGGGAAAAAAGTCATTCCTGCTTTCAGGGGTACAGGACCGAGCCAACTCAGCACAAACCTGGATCAATGGCTGCACCTCAGAAAACTCTGTGCCCTGATCTACTAGGCAATGAGCGATCCTTATACACTCTAGTAGTTGATCTCTGGGATACTCCTTCAGAGTCTGATAAGCATAGTCTTTGTCATCAAACACTAGCAGAGATAAATACACCACCTCATCAAGATCCATCCTTCCCAGCAACAATATGCCAAGATGGCTTCCCTGTGCAGCCACTTCTGGTCAGGATTGGCCTTGGTGTAATGTCAGGGCTCCGGGTATGACCAGAGGTGTGTGGACTGACACAGGGAAACGCAGGCTTCAGATATGGTATAAACAATATGATTTATTAAGACTAACAATACAAAATGCAGTGCAAAACTAAACATAAACACAGTGCAAACAAACCAAACCACCTACAGATAACAATACATACAATGCAAGAGTCATCAGGCAGGTCGGGTCAGTAGCAAACGGGCAAACGGAGTACCAGGAACAGGCGGGAGAGTGGTCGGGGTCACAAGCTGGGTTCAGTAACTCACGGGCAGCGCGGTGCAGAGGGTCAGGCAGAGAATGGTCAGGGTCACAAGCCAGGGATCAAACAGGAGAAGTCAGCAGAGGTCAGGATCAGGCAGGGTCGGCAACAAGTCAGGCAGAAACAGGAACAGGAACACTGGATACAAGATTACAGGGGCCCATGGAAAAAAAACACACACCAAGGCCCTGACTGTGAGTCTGGCCATTCCTTAAATACAACCCCTGCAATCAGCTTCAGGTGTTTGGCTGACTGCAGGGGCGAGTCTCTGATTGCTGAGAGCACCCGCTGGCCAGCCCTGGTACTGCAGCCCACAAGGCAGGTGAGTCCCACCATTATTGGCAAGTCCATTCATGACAGTACCCCCCCCCCTCAAGGAGCGGCCTCAGGACGCTCCAAACAGTCCTAGCTGGGCAAAATGTTCCACCGCCCGGCGGCAGGCACCGGGCCACAAGGCAGGGTGGCAGGCACCGGGCCCCCAGGCGGAGCGGAGGGCACCGAGCCCCCAGGCGGAGAGGCGGGCACCGGGCCCCCAGGCAGAGCGGCAGGCATTGGGCCCCCAGACGGAGCGGCGAGCACCGAGTCATCTGGCAAGACCGCGGGCACCGAGTCATCTGGCAAGACCGCGGGCACAGAGTCATCTGGCAAGACCGCGGGCACCGAGTCATCTGGCAAGACCGCGGGCCCCGAGTCAACCGGCACGACAGCGAGCTTTGAGTCAACCGGCACGACAGCGGGCTCCGAATCAACTGGCACGACAGCGGGCACCGGGTCATCAGGTACCAGATCGTCTGGCTCGACAGCGGGCACCGGGTCATCTGGCTCGACAGCGGGCATCGGGTCACCAGGTACGACAGCGGGCACCAGGTCATCAGACATTGGATCGTCTTGCTCGACAGCGGGCACCGGGTCATCTGGCTCAACAGCGGGCATCGGGTCACCAGGCACGACAGCGGGCACTGGGTCATCAGGCATCGGGTCATCTGGCTCGACAGTGGGCATCGGGTCATCAGGCACGACAGCGAGCATTGGGTCATCAGGCACGACAGCGGGCATCGGGTCACCAGGCATGACAGCGGGCACTGGGTCATCAGGCATTGGATCGTTTGGCTCGACAGCGGGCATCGGGTCACCAGGTATGACAGCGGGCACTGGGTCATCAGGCATTGGATCGTCTGGCTCGACAGCGGGCATCGAGTCATCAGGCACGACAGTGGGCATCAGGTCACCAGGCATGACAGCGGGCACTGGGTCATCAGGCATTGGATTGTCTGGCTCGACAGCGGGCATCGGGTCACCAGGCATCAGGTCATCTGGCTCGACAGCGGGCACCGGGTCATCTGGCTCGACAGCCGGCATCGGGTCACCAGGTACGACAGCGGGCACCAGGTCATCAGACATTGGATCGTCTTGATCGACAGCGGGCACCGTGTCATCTGGCTCAACAGCGGGCATCGGGTCACCAGGCACGACAGCGGGCACTGGGTCATCAGGCATCGGGTCATCTGGCTCGACAGCGGGCATCGGGTCAGCAGGCACGACAGCGGGCACTGGGTCATCAGGCACGACAGCGGGCACTGGGTCATCAGGCATTGGATCGTCTGGCTGGACAGCGGGCATCGGGTCACCAGGTATGACAGCGGGCACTGGGTCATCAGGCATTGGATCGTCTGGCTCGACAGCGGGCATCGAGTCATCAGGCATGACAGCGGGCACTGGGTCATCAGGCATTGGATCGTCTGGCTCGACAGCGGGCATCGGGTCACCAGGCATCAGGTCATCTGGCTCGACAACGGGCACCGAGTCATCTGGCAAGGCAGTGGGCACCGAGTCACCAGGCACGACAGCGGGCTCTGAGTCAAGTGGCACGACAGCAGGCACCGGGTCATCAGGTACCAGATCGTCTGGCTTGACAGTGGGCACCGGGTCATCTGGCTCGACAGCGGGCATCGGGTCACCAGGCATCAGGTCATCTGGCTCGACAGCGGGCACCGAGTCATCTGGCAAGGCAGTGGGCACCGAGTCACCAGGCACGACAGCGGGCTCTGAGTCAACTGGCACGACAGCGGGCAGTGGGTCACCAGGCATCAGGTCATCTGGCTCGACAGCGGGCACCGAGTCATCTGGCAAGGCAGTGGGCACCGATTCACCAGGCATGACAGCTGGCTCTGAGTCAACTGGCACGACAGCGGGCATCGGGTCACCAGGTATGACAGCGGGCACCGGGTCATCTGGCTCGACAGCGGGCATCGGGTCACCAGGTATGACAGCGGGCACCGGGTCATCAGGCATTGGACTGTCTGGCTCGACAGCGTGTATCGGGTCACCAGGCATGACAGCGGGCACTGGGTCATCAGACATTGGATCGTCTGGCTCGACAGCGGGCATCGGGTCACCAGGCATCAGGTCATCTGGCTTGACAGCGGGCACCGAGTCGCCTGGCATGATAGGATCATTAGGCTGGATCAGTTCATCAGGCTGGGTACAGACATCAGGCTGGGTAGAGACATCAGGCTGGGTAGAGACATCAGGGTGAATTGCGGGTGCCAAGGCACCAGGCTGAACCACGGAAGGCGGGTTCTCAGACAGCAGACTGGACAGTTTGGATACTGGCAGGATGGTACTGGTTGGAAAGAATTTTCGCTTTTTTCTGGTTTTAGTTACTGGAGCACTGTAAGTAAACGCAGGTCTGTAAACAAATGGAGCAGCTAAAGACAGAGAAGAGCTGGAGGATGGAACAGAGGAGGGAGCAGTTGCTATAGAGGACTTCTTTACAGGGTTAAAGGCAGGATAGGTGCAGCGAGTGGGAGCAGAGGACTGATATGTGGTAGTTAGCAGAGTATACTGGGCCGTCACTGGGGGTGCTGTCGGGGATGCAGGAATAGAGCTTTGAAGAAATAGATTAGAAGCAGGACTGGGTTCTTGCAAGCTGACTGAGGCTGGGTGCAACAAATCTGTCCATGTCTGCAGTACTGGTTGAACAAAACTCAGCTTACACCAGTGTTTTCTCAACTCCAGTCCTCATGGACCCCCAACAGGTCATGTTTTCAGGATTTCCCTCAGATGAAACAGCTGTGGTAATTACTAAGGCAGTGAAACTGATCAAATCACCTGTGCAAAATAATGGAAATCCTGAAAACATGACCTGTTGGGGTCCATGAGGACTGGAGTTGAGAAACACTGGCTTACACATAGCCTGTCTGATCAAAGACTGCACTGCGTTTATGCAATCCATAAGCACATGTGATGGACAAGCTGCATAATGCTCATGGAAGCAATCTGGATCATCCTCCAACAACCATACTAGTGATTCCACTTGATCCACACTAAATGGGGGAAAAAAGTAATTCCTGCTTTCAGGGGTACAGGACCGAGCCAACTCAGCACAAACCTGGATCAATGGCTGCACCTCAGAAAACTCTGTGCCCTGATCTACAAGGCAATGAGCGATCCTTATACACTCTAGTAGTTGATCTCTGGGATACTCCTTCAGAGTCTGATAAGCATAGTCTTTGTCACCAGCACTAGCAGAGATAAATACACCACCTCATCAAGATCCATCCTTCCCAGCAACAATATGCCAAGATGGCTTCCCTGTGCAGCCACTTCTGGTCAGGATTGGCCTTGGTGTAATGTCAGGGCTCCGGGTATGACCAGAGGTGTGTGGACTGACACAGGGAAACGCAGGCTTCAGATATGGTATAAACAATATGATTTATTAAGACTAACAATACAAAATGCAGTGCAAAACTAAACATAAACACAGTGCAAACAAACCAAACCACCTACAGATAACAATACATACAATGCAAGAGTCGTCAGGCAGGTCGGGTCAGTAGCAAACGGGCAAACGGAGTACCAGGAACAGGCGGGAGAGTGGTCGGGGTCACAAGCTGGGTTAAGTAACTCACGGGCAGCGCGGTGCAGAGGGTCAGGCAGAGAATGGTCAGGGTCACAAGCCAGGGATCAAACAGGAGAAGTCAGCAGAGGTCAGGATCAGGCAGGGTCGGCAACAAGTCAGGCAGAAACAGGAACAGGAACACAGGATACAAGATACAGGGGCCCATGGAAAAACACACACCAAGGCCCTGACTGTGAGTCTGGCCATTCCTTAAATACAACCCCTGCAATCAGCTTCAGGTGTTTGGCTGACTGCAGGGGTGAGTCTCTGATTGCTGAGAGCACCCGCTGGCCAGCCCTGGTACTGCAGCCCACAAGGCAGGTGAGTCCCACCATTATTGGCAAGTCCATTCCTGACACTTGCATTTAGACCTAGTAAAACCATTAACACAATGTGCAGGGTATCTGTACAATATTTCTGTCTCTTTTCTCTAACATAATATACTGTACAAACTGCCTAATCTCCCGCGCCAAAAGTTTATAAAAACTGTGCTGAAAATATGTATATTTTCCCCTCATCTGTATGGGAAAGGAAGCCAAATCTTTTTTATTGTAAGATGCAATATTCTTGCTGTCTGGCTTGCCTAGACAAGTCTGTGAAAACAGACTTAAAAGTTGTCGTGCAATCTATTTGCTCTCAGAAATATAAGGATAATAGAAACGATACGAATGGGATTTTTTAGGTGCATATATTACACGCCAACACTAAACATTGATTAAATGTTGATTAAAATATTACAATTTAGGGGGGCGTGTCCAAGATGGGGACTGGAGTGGCTGCATAATTCAGAGCTCCATCACCTCACCAGCTAATCCGCTGCCATCCTGGAGGTAGCGGACCCACAGTGAGCACCGGAGGTCCTACCATCCCTGCCTGCACCCAGAGGAGGAGAGCTGAGCAGATTTGACCCCTCTCCACAGCAACAAACGTCCGCGGCCTATTGAGGCCTAGCGCGGCCTCGCCCAGTTCCGTTCTTGGAACCATCCATGCTGTATTGTGAGTACAGCCTGCTGTTGGGGAGGGCTATTGGCGGCCATCGGATCCCCATCTGGGCTCCAGGGACTGTGACCTGCAATTGTGAGCCTGGAGGCCCTTCCTCAGAAAAACATGGCCCCTACTGGGCCTAAAGGCCTGCTGTGGCCTGCGGCCACCTAGGGGAGAGGAATATGGGCTCCCTACACCCCCTCTGGTGGGCTCTGGAACCAGCACCCCAGAAGATCTGCATAATAATGGCCCCTGTGCCCTATCTGCAGCAGCATGTCTCAAGATAATACAGACTGGGCATCCCCATCCTGTCTCACGCAGGATACCGTAGCTCATCCATCTGCACAAGACAATGAATATGCACAGCAGCTTACAAAGGGGAAATTGGAATCTTGTCTGGAGACTACGTAGACCAAGTTGGCTGCTAAATTCCAATCAGAATTCCACAAGAGCACAAACGTCCTCTCTCAGGAAATAGCTGAGCTGGGCTCCAGAACAGATAGTTTATAAACAAAACATGATGAGCTCAGCTTAGCTTATGGTGAGCTCTCCAGAGACCATGATCATCTACAAACGGCATTTATGCAGTTGCAGGCACAGGTTGAGGATCTCGATAATCAAAATCACAGGAACAATCTGCATGTTCAGGAAGTTCTGGAGACTGTGACTGACCTTTCGCAAGCTACAACTAAATTGTTCAAGTCTCTCCTTCCAGACCACGGCCCTAGATCCTTTACATGTGACCGTAGCCATAGAGCTCTACATCCAAAATCTCCTAACGATAAACCTCTTCGGGACATTGTTCTGTGTATGAAAGATTTCCTGACCAAAGAAGACATACTCAGGGCTGCTCGTAATACCCCCGCGATCTCTTTTGAAGGTTCAACTCTGCAAATTTTTTCGGATGCCTCTCCGGCTACGTTGGAGAAGCGCAGGAAAATGAAGGAAATCACATCTGCCCTTTTTTCAGCTCGTATCCACTACAAATGGGGCTTTCCCTTTAAATTGATAGTTTCACACAATGGCAGCACATACACAGCCACATCTCTTCTCGAGGGCCGAGAAATCCTGGCTAAATTAGGCCTGGTGGATGCTCCTTCACCTCAACGTCCACCTCCCACCCCTCGGGTATCTCCTATCTGGAACACTTCATCTCCATGAAGGGAGAGTCAGACAAGAGCCGAGATAAAAGGGTTTTGCTCATTTGCATATAATTCACTATTTTGATAAGATACTGAGACACGCTGCAGCCACATCATATTCATATATGTCTGTTAATTTTGATTTATCCCTTAGCTACCTGGACGCTCAAAAATTTTGCATGGGTCTTTGGACCCTTAATTTACAGCCCATATGCTGATTCTATGGGACTACTTGATACGTGACCCCACCTTGTTCCCGAGCATGGCCGGAGATGTCACTGCCCAGACAAGAAGTGGCCGCTCCACTTCTTATGTTTTAAGGTGGCGGGGTTTGGGCCCGGTTGGCCCTTTGATGTTAAGTTTTTCTGTCTTTTCAGGAGAGGCAGCTAGCCTACCTGATCCATGGTTTGTTGTGATTTCTTTAGTTATAGGGGCTCCTAGAGCCCTACTTCTATTGTTTTATGTTTTTGTTCTTTTGATAATTTTGGTACATTATGGTAGTCATACACAATTTTGTGGACATCCCTGTCACGACCTTGGGACTTGGATGCTCCATAAAATGATACTGACAGATTTCACCTTACACGATGTAGATCCGGATGCTCCACTGATTAGACAAACTTTTTTTGCTACTTCTCAGATGGTTATAATAATGTTGACTGATACTATTTTTCTATGCCATGGTGGTTCATTGTATCTCACATAATGTCCAGGGTTTCAATTCCCGAAATAAGAGCAAAACTGCCTTCCTCCAGTATAGACGCCTAGAGGCAAAGATAATTTTATTACAGTAAACTCATTTTGCAGGGGTTTTACACCTTACATTCTACTAAAAGCAGAGGCGTAGCAATGTTTCTTCACAACTCATTTCCCTTTGATGTTCAACATGTTCATCATGACCCTGAGAGCAGATTTAACATTATTAAAGGCACCCTT